CCGTGTATCAACTCCTAATCTCTTATTTCGTTATCTCGTTATCTCGTTATCTCTTAATCTCTGATTTCTTTCCAATATCTAAAGTATTCAACTATTAGTAAGACTGGATATCCATGAAATTGAAGTGAAATCTAATCAGTCAGACAGAATACTTCTAATCCGAAATACTGGGTGACTCGAGTGCTAGAAAATGGAAGAATTGCAGTGCGCCAGAAGGGGGAGTATTTACGAGATTTGTAAAGCAAAAAGTACACCAAGTGAAGAAGCTGAAACGAAAAGGCTTAGTGTTTACGAGATTTGTGAGCATAAAGTTATAAACGACTTGGAAAATGAAAAAAATTTATATAATAAAGTAGGTTCACGTAAATGTTTTTCCAATGATAAGAATCAAGAGGAAACAATGAAACAATTAAGGAAAATTGTGCAAAAAGGCAAGTGTCATCGTTGCCTTTCAAAGTGAAACTTCTTTTTTTTTTTATCGTTTCGATTTTGGCGATTTCGAAGAGGGGAGAGTTTTGCGTTTCAAAAGTGGACATCTTAATTGGAGGAAAGGCTTTTTTTAATGGAACGACTGGTGGATTACGTCAAAATTAACGTCAAAATTCGTTTAAATACGTTGAATTAGCAGGAATTGATCACCTTTTTCATATCTACACTAAATTTGATAACAAAACTTTGATAAAAAGCGAGCAAAATTCGTCAATTTCAATCGAATCGTCGTCATTTGCGTTTGATTGAATGGTTTTTAATTGATTTCGTTCAATTACAATCATCAATTTCAACGTTAGTGAAACGTACAAAGCGTGCAGATTAGCAAAATTCAATTTTTCAAACATTTTCTGAAGCTTTGGGTTGTTTGAAGTGAATTTAGGGAATCTAGGGAGAGTTTTGGTTGGAAATTAGAGAGCAATTAGAGTTGAGAGGGACAGTTTTGGAAGGAATTGAGAGGGAGATCGCTGATCACTTTTGATCACTTCCGAAAAGCAAAACTCTCCCTCTCAAATAGAGTTTTGCTTTTCAAAAGTGATCATATTAATTAGAGGAAAGGCTTTTTAATGAAATGGAATTGAATTTTGTAATCTGCACGCATATTTGAACAGAGAAACAGAGAAAACAGAGAAAGACTCTCTTCCAACAGAGAAAATTTTTGTTTTATGAATAATTGATATGCGCAGCCTCCGTTTATACCTAATAAACTTGAAACTCAATTTTTAAAAATCAACTTTAGCCTTAAAAAGCTTGGTTTCAAAAGTGATGGCTTGGATTTGTTTTGGATTTGCTTGAAGGGGTGACAATGATAGCCACTGTAAACAATCAATCAAACAATTCTATCAACTGACAAAAGGGAAACTTGAAACAAAAAGTTAAACAAGGTAATTTTGTAAAAAAAAAAACATACGGGATTAATAAAATTTTTCAAGTTTTTAACGGGATAACTTTGAAACAAGGTGTTTTAAATTCGGTTTTTCTGTATTTCAGCGAAAACTATCGTAATCCACCCAGCAGTTTTCCTTTCGATTAACCCAATTTTGATATGATTCGATGAGGGAAAGGCTTAGAATATTGATTTGAATTGAATTGAATTGATTTGAATTGAATTGAATAACAAAATTGAAACTGATTGAAAGGAAAACTGACTGAAATACGATGCATTTTAGAAAATCGATTAGAAACGGGAACCGAAACAAGATTAAATCTAAGACAGAATGAAACAAAAACAAATAACCATCAAAACTTTCCGTTTTAATGTCATCATTTTGATATGAACAAGCAAAAAGGAGGGATCGGATCTGATTCGAAAGAGTGAAACATTTATCCTTTTCACTTTCAAGTATCTAAAGCTGATCTAAAGCGAAGAGACTTTCACTCAAAGAGTCTCGGTTTTCTTTGGATCTTTTTCAGATATTCTTTTTTGCATGTTTCAAGTTCTATTGAAAGAATTGCCACAAGTGGATGTTTGTCTGCCTCTAGCCTTTGGTTCGAGCGTTTTTTTGATGAATCGAACTTGCTTTTTGTGGAACATGGGGTGAAAATGACATTCGAATGGGGGAAATGAAGCGGGAAAACGTTTTGGAGGGAGGGGGAGGTGCTTGGGAACAGATGGGTAGCAAATAGTCAAGAGAATCTGGGGCCAAGATCAAATAGTCAAGAGAAACTGGCTCGGGCTAGGTACCAGGCTAAACTGTTGCATCCTGATAGTGTGATTTCACACTTCATGGTTCACCAGTGCACCGTAGGTCACGAATCTTTTCCCCCGTCCAATCCAATCCAATCCAATCCCTGTCCAATCCAATCCAGTACTCTGACTTGGAACTCCACTAAGATCAAAGTAAATTCACTAAGGTTCTAGCGAATCTTAGAGAATTCACTGGATTGGATGCCCAGAATAAGAACTTAAACATTCAATCAAATTGTATCAAAATCGAGCGAATGAAAATTAAACTCAAATTTACCCAATCATTTGGCTAAACTTTGAAACACAAACTTTTTTTTCTTTACTTTCGTGGTTTCTGCTGAATTTTGGGGAATTTATTGAGAATTTAAAGTCTCACTTTTTCTTTAATGCTTCTTTCTTTCGAGAAAGCTAACCAATTCCGACCTAAACTTTGTTTAGATTGAAACATTCAAAGAAAATTTTTTGATAAACCATTCCTCTGAGAAATCCCACGAAAGGAAAACAAGGAAACGATTCTGAAAGCTTGTTGAAAGCTTATTCTAAGCCTGAAAGCTTCCTCTAAGCCTGAAAGCTTATTCTAAATTCTTGAGCAAAGATAAAGTGTGTTAGGTTTGAGAAATTCGAGAAATTTCCTGAAAAACTTCAATTGAGAAATGAGAAAAATGGTTTTTAGCTAATTTGTAAGTACATACTTGAAGTTCTCATTCAGTTCTCATTCAGTTACCGTATCCTCTCTAACAGTAGTGCATCGCGCCGAGTTGATCACTATTTTACGGCTTTCAAAGTTTTCGCAGAAGCGCAACACTCAAATCCCTCAGCTCTCATCGTCAGCTACATTTTTCGATCCCACATAGGTACTGATAGGTTCTGATAAGCGGTTCTCGAGATTTCGAGGAATTTAGGCAACCCTCTGGGTGCACTACTATTAGAGAGAATACGGTAATTGTTATAAAAGTATTTAGGATCTAGTATCTAGGAGAGAGAATCTCTTGATCTCTTGCAAATCTTAAGCCTTGCCTATCATCAGTTCTGTGCTCTGGCCTTTCCCAATTTTCTGGGATCTCCGTGGGTTAAAGGAGGTTAAATCGCAGCAGAACCTGGATGCCACACGCGATACTTTTCACTGATTTTATTGAAGAGCGTTCGGTCGATTTGTGTCCAAATGCTCCTCTTACTGTATAGAACTTCATGGCTTCAAAGGTTTCGTTATTGATAGCCATAAACGTTGAAGGATTTAGTTTACCGTATTCTCTCTCGAATCTCTCACCGCGCCGAGTTGATAACTATTTTACGGTTTCGAAGCTTTTGCAGAAGCTGAACACTCAAATCTCCCACAAAATCTGATCGTCAGCTACTTCGTCAGCTATCGTCAGCTACGTCAGCTACAATATCTCATCGTCAGCGTCAGCTACACTTTCCGATCTCACATCGATAGATTCTGATAAGCACTTTTCGAGATTACGAGGAATTTAGACGACGCTCTCGGTGCACTACTATTAGAGGGAATACGGTAATCCGTTTGATAAAAGGTGTCCCCTTTTCTAATCTTATTTATTTTGTATCTAATCTATTGACTTTTTGCCTTTTTCTGTGTGATTTCACAAAAGATATCTAAAGATATAAAAAGTGGATAGATTGTCTAAAAAAGAGACAAGATTACGGTAGAAAGAGAAGTGGGACACGTTTCGGAAAATGAAAGAACCAGTTTTTTTTGTTTTTTCAAAAAAACTTCAAACTACTCATCACGAGGTTCACAAATGCTAAAAAAAATCCATGTTTCAAAATAAGCGGCACCTCAAACAATTCACAGTGATCAATGAAAAATTGACTTAAATTTTGAATCAATTTCATCGAAATAGACTTCACAAACACAAAGAGCTAATAAATCTAAATTTTCCACAATAAATTCAGCATAACTGAGCCTGTTAAAAGCCGAAAAAAACCGCTTTTATTGAACATTTATTGATCGAAATTGACCTAAACAATCAGAAAAATCAAGAACTTTTACTTTCATTACCCTTTTTCAACTTTGTTCAGTCCAAGCCGTTGATTTGTTAGGTTCAATTGTTAGATTGTTAGATCAATAAGAGCAAGACTGTCAAGTTTTTGTGCTAGTAACAGTGAAAATTGTTTACAAAATTGGTATTCTTATCAATTCTTATCAATTTTGGTGATTTTTGTGCTTGCAAAAAGTGTATGTTTCAACTTTGCAAGTTATTGCTGAAGGTTTTTATTTCCAATTGGTTTCTTTTTAAAAAAATACTAGGCAGATTCTTCAAACCAATGAATATCCAGAAATTTTTTTTTCTTTTCTTTTCGAGAGTAAAAGATTCTTAAAAGAAGAGAAAAGTTGATGAATTCACAAAAAAAAAAAGATCGAAAAAAAGAGCAAAAATTTCCTAAAATCTGCTGAATTGGGTTGTTTATTTTTGGATTTTATATTTACAAATTTGAAACAGATTTTTTTTTATCCTCTCTGGGAAGTCACGGAGTATAGCAGTATTAATTATAGCAGTATTCTAGTCCTCAATATCTGCTAGTTTGCTACGGATTGCTGTTTCCAAAAGCTATTTAAGCTTTGCTTCACATTTTCAAACTATTTTAACAAATTTTCAATTCAATTTTGCTGCTATAAGGACTTTGTGCTGTCAAATCTAAAAGAAATGCTTTTTGAAATTGCGGGAAAGATGAAACTTTTTGATTTGAAACGGCATTTCGACGCGATGATGATTCACTTTTCCTTACGAAAACACCACTATTCATTGAGTGTTTTAGGCCCAGATTATTCAAAAAACAAAATTTTTGACAGTTTTCTTGCTAGAAAATGAGCTCACCATCCTTTGAAGAAGAAGAAGCCACCGGTTTCACCATTCATTATCATTTGAAACATGAAGTTCGTGTAAGTGAAAAGAAGGCTTTTTGTTTGCGTCTAGACTTTGATTTTCTTTCATTAAATGCTTTAAAAAAATAAACTGCTTAAATGCTTGAAAAGTTGAGGAATTTAGGTTTATCTCAAAAAAATCTACAGAAAAAAAAATCTCTTTAAATTTTGCTGATGAAAAGTTAGTGTTTCAAGTTTATTAAAGGGTTCTTTGAGAATTTGAATTTATCATTTTTGAAATTGCTTCATAAAATTTTCAGCCAAAGACGAAACAATGCGAGAAATGTGAGGCGTGGCACCGTGAAAAGGTTGGTCAATGGTGTACTTTGTAAAGGTGTACTCTGTACTCGTAAATCCCATTTTCTCTAGAGTAAACCATGAATTTGAGTAAAAGGAATGGGAAAACTACCGTAATTCATAAGATTTGGTTGCGTAAAATCTCCTCATTGGATTGGATTCCCTGTAGCGAATAGCACCCACTTTGAAACTTGAAAATTTTAACAGATTTTGAGTTTTTATGATTTTACAAGATAACTGTACAAGATAACTGTAAAATCATAAAAACTCAAAATCTGTTAAAATTCTCAAGTTTCAAAGTGGATCCTATTCGCTACAGGTGACTCAATCCAATGATGGATTTTTTTGTCTTTTGTTTAATGTTTCTGGCAGAGTTCCAGTGTACTTTATGCTCTCACAAATCCCGTAAACATCCTTTCTGGCGCACTCAATTCAAATTTGATTCTTGCCTTATTCAAGTAATTCAGTTCAAGCGATTCGCCATTCTTCTCAATTGTTGGCATCGATTTTGTGAGGATTGCATCAAGGCTCATCGCTCCGAGGAGAACCCAAAAAGAAAGTCGGTTTCAAAGTTGGGCTAGTGTAAAGCCGGCTTAAAAGAAACAATAATAGCTCTGCTTCGCGTCTTATCAATCAAAATTGTAAAAACGTTTCAAATTCCAGGCTTTGCCCTATTTGCGGGGTTTACAGCGAGCACATTGTGCCGGCATTGTGGTGGCCGAGGAGTTTTACCGAGAAAAAGGTTTGTTTCAAATAATGCTACTATGCTACTGTTGTGCGAGTATTAATGTGATGCACACTGGTTGTACTTGCTGTACTTGTTGTACTTGGTTTGTACAAGTATTAATAAGATACGGAACGCCGGTATTTTCGCGTAGTCGTTAATTTATGTAAATTCAAAGTTAAACTAAGCTATTATAGCTCATTTAATAGCCCTGAATCTTCTCTTGAAAACTAGTATAAAGTTATATAGAATTTTCTGCGAAATAATTCCTTAAAAACTTGAGTTAACACTAAAAATAATTGTTATTAATAAGAGCGATGATATTGTCAAAAAGATATTGTTATAAATGTGTTAAAAACTAGTATTAGAGCCAAACAGCCAGTTGTCGTTTAAATTTTGATGTTTCAAAGTAAAATAAATAAAGGAACGTTTCTCGATTTTAATGCTCGATTTAAGGCTTATTCATTAGATTGATAAGGTTTAAAAAGTTTAGAAATTGTGACACAAATTTTGATGTTTCAAAGTAAAGTAAAGCAACGAACGTTCTTTGATTTTAATGGGAACGTGGTGTTGAAGGTTTATCAATTAGATTAGCTCATTTTTAACTAATTCCATCAAAAATTTCAATGTTTCAAAGATAGCTTTTAGAGAATGATCTGGAATTGGAAAAATACTTGTGCGAGGACGCTTTGCAGGGAATATAATGTGAGTTTACAGGCAGAAAACCAGAAGGCTAACTTGAGCATTTCTCAAAACTAAATAGATATTTTGAAACATAGAAAATTTAAACCACGAAACATCTCAAATTTTCGAACTTATCAGCGTTAGTGCTTGTTAAAGATCAAGAGTGAATCAAGACTGATGTGTTGTGCTTTGTGCTCACAAAAATGCTCTCAAAACTCCTGTAAACATCCCCCTTTCTAGTGCACTGAATTCTTCAATTTCCCCTCGTGAGGGGGAAAATGGGTTTTTATTGTAGACGAATGATTGCACAGATATTAGAGTTTAAATCCTTTCATTCAAGACCGAAAACTTGAAACTTTTTATCTTTTTTCTCTAAAGTTTCAGTTTCTCAGCTCACTAAATTATAGTAATAAGAGATTTTTTGAAAAATAGATTGTAAGTAGATTTGTAAAAAGACTATCCCCTCTTTCCTATCCTATTTTAAAACTCAGAAAGTAGTTCGTGCACATCGTAATCCAATAACACATTGCTTTCAAGGCAGTTGGTTTCAGGTGTTGGACAAACCCGAATTTCCCTGTTTTGCCTACCTTTTAGAGCATAAAGTACACTAAATCTGAAATGAAACACATGAATTTTCAGCCGGAAACCGGTGAATGCTCGTGGGGTGACGTGTGCTTCTTCGCGCATCCGCTGTTGATGAGTGGAGTGGTGGATTTCATGTCATAAAGAAGCTCATTTGTTTGTTTATTTTCATTGTTGATATCCTGTTGTTATCTCGATTCATTTTTTTCCATTTACTCAATATGATTTCACTTTTTTTGAACATTCTCTGTTTTTTTGATCTTTGATGTTTCAATTTGCTCAGCTTCTAGCTTCAGCTCAGCTTCAGCTCAGCTTCAGCTCAGCTTCAGCTCAGCTTCAGCTCAGCTTCAGCTCAGCTTCAGCTCAGCTTCAGCTCAGCTTCAGCTCAGCTTCAGCTCATCTTTTTATTGAATTCTAGATTTCAAACGGTTTGATTCAATTATTTATAAACTTTTAACGAGTTTTTTTTTTAAAAAAGTTGTCTTTCAGTGTGGTTGAGATTGATTTTTGAGTTTATTTTAATAAATTCTTTATTATATTAGAAAAGCTACCAATTTAATTGTCCCACTTCTTTAGATCTACTTTAAATTCTAGATTCTTTAGTTTATATTCTATTAGGGTGGCCCAAAAGAAACAGCCGATTTGACGGTAAATTCAAAAAAAAAAAGATGGCGTTCGATGGTGACATGATCACAATGGAATATTTTCGCAAGATCTCAAGCAGATTGGCATGGATCGGCCTGAATAACGTCCCTCAGCTTGGCTTCGTTCACGACTTCTGGTCTCGAACCGTGCTCGTAATCTTTCAAAGTCTCGTCTCCGTCTCGGAATCGTTGAAACCAAGTCTGACACTGCCTGAGGGACAAACTGCCTGACAAACTGTGACAAACTGAGAGACATCTCCGAAATCAGCACAGAGAGAACGATGGGCAGCAGACTTTCCAATTTAGAAGTTAAACAGTGATGCTGCTCGTAGCACAAACTTTTGCTTGACGATGATCTAAATAAAAAATAAAATAAACAACAACCAAAAAATTGAAATGTCGAAATAAATAGCAAACAAATATGCGAAGAAAATATTAAAAAAATAATGCCGTTAGCATCGCTCGTTTCTGACAAATCAGAGCTGATACCTATCGGCAGTTTCCCTTGCACCACCCTAATAGATCTTGTCCAACTAGACTAAAAATATCAAAAATCCTAGAAAGAGAAAATCGTTGAAATTAACTCCAGTTAGAAATCCAGTGATCTCCAGCTAGAAAGTTTGAGATGTCAATCTAGCCAGAGAATAGCATAATACAGTAGGACTCAACCCTGTCACTTTCATAAGTTCAGTGATGGTCATCATTGGCATTGTCAACTATTACGAAGATCCCTACAAAGATCTTTTCCTCTCAACGAATACCAGATAATTCAAATAGTTTAAATTCTTACAAAAAGTCGATTCAGTGTCATTGGATGTAGTGGTTTGGTGAAAAATCCGCATAATTTTACAATTCGCCAACAGCCTGACTACGATGCATACTATGGACAACATGGATCAGTCGGTGGGTGTCATTTCTTTTGCACCACCCTAATTGATCTCCAGATTCTTTAGATCAGACTACAAAAATTGAAACTTATGATTTTAGAAAGCTCGAGTTTACAGCTTAGCGGCAGGATCGATTGTTCAAAGGATCGTAAATTCAAGTGCACCTTGTGTTCTCAATCAAAGCAACCTTGTAAAAGCGCACTCTCTGGTGCACTTAATCCTTTCATTCTTTTCTGCTTCTTTGTAAATTGTCTTTGTCTTTCTGAGTCAATTTTAAAGTAAAAATTTTAACTCGTGAGTTTTGAATGATCGGTGATTTTTTGAATAAAATTTAAACGAAAGATTACGGTAGCTTTCTTTCTAGATTCTAAATAAAGATTCATCTAAATTGTTCACTGTTCATTGAACAATTTAGAAGAATCTTTATTTAGAATTAAGAAAGAAAGCTACCGTAATCTTTAGAAAAGTCAAAAAATTGTTTTTAGGATTTTTTCAAAAAACAATGTTTCAACTTTCACCATATTCTGGTTAATCTTGAGGTCATAATTTGAAATGAAGTTTGAGTCCCTGTACAACAACATTCTATCACTATTCTTTCTTATTAAATGATCTTTCTTTCTTATCTTATTTGAAATTAATCATTAAAAGTAGATAAAACAGATTGAGAAACAGATTGAGAAAAGTTTCTGAGTCAAATTTAGATTTAAACGACGCAGAACAGGATTTGAAACACTTTTTGGAGGAGTCGAAAGTTCTGAGGCTTAATAGAAAAGTGCCGATTTGCTTTAGTACTTATTTGACACTGATTTTACTCAAAATTTGTAACCGGTGGCTTTTGGGAGTGGAAAATCTGAATCCGGGATCAGTTTTTTTATAAAAAGTCAAAGGTAGTACCAGATTTGAAATCTTTTCACTAATTGAGCCAAATTTAGCAAAAAAAAAATAATTTGAATGTTTCAACTTTTATGAAGTTCTCGGTGCTCTTTTACTTGTAGTCAAGAGAAAAGAAACTAGTTAAGTATGTTTTTGCCGCTTATGTACAAATTTTATTTCTTAAACCAATGATTCTAAAGTGATTTAGAAGTATTTCTTCTTGAGCTTTGGTTCCATTGTGTGCGGGTGGCTTTGGTGGGTTGGTTCAGTGCCGAAGCAGGCATGCAAGTCGTAGCACACTTGCCACGCGTCTTTGCCTGAAAATTAGGTGAAATTGATTTCAAAATTGAAAGATAGACATAGGATAGACATAGGCAAAGAGTTTGATTCTAATTTGAGTTTGTTTCCAATTGGATCTTCAAGTACCGTACTTTCCAGAAGTTAATAAGACATTCTTGAGTCTGGAAAAAGGATTTTGAGGCCGTTTACAGCAACAATCAACTTGTAAACCAAAGCTTGCAGTTTATCTTAGAATTTTTGCAAGTTTCAAGTGAATTTCACTAAATTAAGATATTTGCAAAGAATAAAAACAAGCCTTGAAAATAAATTTTAACTTTTGAAATTGAATGTTTCAAGTTAGCCTCGTCACTCGATAAATTTTTGTAGTCAATGCAGCCCAGATTTCTGAGGAATTATCGATCACAGAATTCTGTTGGTAGCTAGGAATGGGTACTTTGTGCTCTCAAATCTCGCAAACATCCCCCTTTCTGGCGCACTCATTTCCTCCATTTCCCTCTCGTTACTGTGCGGGGAAAATTTAAGAAGTGAGTGCGCCAGAAAGGGGGGTGTTGACGGGGTTTTGAGACAGCACAAAAGAACCCATTGAAATCATTTTCTTACCGGCTTTCAAGTCCTTGTAGATGGTGTCAATGTTTTGATTGCACGTATCTTGACAGTCTCGAACGGCTTGTTGTCCGTAGAAGCGGCCCAAACTCTGGCAATCCTGAAATTTGAATGATTACCCATTGAAAATCTTTTATTAAAGAAGTTAAATCTAAAGAGAATCACCCGAAGCCGTCAAAGTTGAAACTTAGAAATTGTTTTTTTATGTTTTTTATGTTTTAGGCTTTAAAAACCCACATTGAGAAGCTCTTTGAGAAGGGTTGGTTCATCGTATCCATTGTTGAGGTGGTGCCGGGCTTGGTTCATGATATAATCGCACATTTGGCATGGATCAGCTGTCGGGGCTGTGGTGGTCATTTGCTGGAAATAAGATTTTTTGAAAGATTCGTTTCCTTGGTGAAAGCTCAAGTTTCAAAGTATTTGGGCCGAAATCTGAGATCATTTGGCTAATGACCTTAGCTTTCATTACAATAAACCGATACACTATTCAGCCAACAAGACTGAATATCCTCAAATTCATTGAGCCAAAGCTAAAGATATTCAGTCTGAATACTGTCTCAGTTTACTGTAGCCAGGAAGCTGAGATTCCTTTATCTTAAAGACTTAAATTCATAGTTTCATCTTAAAGCAAGATTAGCTTTGTATTCAAAATTTATTTGAACATAAAGTCAGCGTTTTCAAATGCTTTTAAAACTCACCCCAAAAACAACGGCCATTGAAACAGCGGCAAGGAGAATCAGTTTCATTTTGGGGAAAATTTTTTAAAGACTAGGAAGTGGTTCAAAAAATTTGAAATTACAAAAGCCTTATATAGGGTTGACTGAATTTCAAATTTTTCCTGATAAAACAAAAAAAATGAATGCTAAAAGGCAAAACTCGGGCACGTCACAATCCGCTTGAAGCACTGATTTGAAGCTTTCTCAGATAACAATTTAGACTTGGGTCTCTGTACCAAAAAAAGTGCTTCTTGCAAGAAAAATTTTCGATAAAACCCGGATCCGATGCTGATGTTTTAAAGATTTTTAGATAAGATTTTTGGGATTTGAACCGGAATTGAGCTATGAAAGGTTTTTAATTGACTAGCTCTAGCTAATTGACCGGTTCAAATCCCAAAACTTATCTAAAAATCTTTAAAAACATCAGCGTCGAATCGAACATTTTTCCATCGAACAATTATCGAACATTTTTCCTGCAACAAGCACTTTTTTGGTACATAGATCCAAGTCTAAATTGTTATCAAAGAAATCTTTTATTATATTCTAGATTCTACGAGAATTTTGGAAAAGAAATTCGAAATTAAATCCCAAAAGGGAACAGCTACCGTAAATACTGTAATAGTACCCCACCCCCTCGTACAGTCGCGTAGTCACAAAAGCTTATTAGTATTTCTTTTACTTCAAAGCGCCCGTACTTTCAAAAAATGCGTCTTTGGTATCAAAAAATAGGCCTGAATTTCAGCTATTTTTTGATACCTAAGCGCGCATTGTAGCATAAACCAGTGTCAAGAAACACTCGTTCAAAGCTAGATTACGCAACACTCCGCACCGTCATTATGGGGGTGGGGTACTATTACAGTATTTACGATATCTATCGGGTGTGCTAGGTAGTGAGCGATTACGCGACCACACAAGGCCACATCTCTCCAGTCATCTACATTGGGATTTCTCTCTTGCTTTTGTAGATGAAAAAAGAAGAGATTCAGTTGTAAGCTTGTACCCGGGGATTTTTACTCCAATCTATCAATGGGAAATCGATTTTAATTTGTCTAAACTTATTTTACCCCTAGGAAAACGTGTTGGGCTTGCATTTAAAATGCTTAAATTGAACGTTGTTTACGAATTTTCAATTCCAGATAGACTACAATCTCATTTTGGCGGCGATTTTTCGCAAAATCTGATACGGATAAATGTGATTCAGAAAAGCGGAAGAGAAATCGTAAAGTAGTGTGAAGAAAATTTATCAATTTTTCCTGATTTCCCGTGATTTATTGGTGAAAATGTGATCTTGGAGGCGAAAAATGTGGAGATAATCAGGGGAAAAGACCAAGAAATGCGGAAATTTGGACTTTTTGAGGGAAAAAGATGGGAATTTGTTGGGAGCAAAAGCAAAAGTATAGTTTTGTGTGGGGGTTTTGAAAATTTGCTGATTTGAAGATTGTTTTTTTGGGGCATTGTTTGGCTAGAGTTTGCTTGATTACTTGAAAAATGACATTGAAAAAGATTTTGCTTTAGAAAATTTCACTTTCGATTTTTTTCATCACTATGCACACTTGGATTTGACTTTTGAATTCAGAAATGAAAGATTGGATTCAAAATTTAGGAATGGATTCTATTAATGTTAGAAATAATCCGTAAAAACTCTAATAGAACGGGTCGCTATAGGAGCGTCGCGTAGTGTAAGTTTATTCTCAAACAAACGCTCATATCTTGACACCAGTACGTTTGTTTCTGCGCGTTCGATTATCAAATTAAAGTAGAGAGGATGGGTGATTTTTTAAGATATAACACATATTTTTAACATTAACCAGTACTGCGAAAAAATGATTGAAAGGTGGAAAAAATGAGCCGATTTTCAATCATTTTTCTAAGTGCTGGTTAATGTTAAAAATATGTGTTATATCTTAAAAAATCACCCATCCTCTCTACTTTAATTTGATACTCGAACGCGCAGAAACAAACGTACTGGTGTCAAGATATGAGCGTTTGTTTGAGAATAAACTTACACTACGCGACGCTCCTATAGAGTTATTAAAGGCTTGAAGCCGTTCTTTTAGCCGTTCTATTCGAGCCTTTACGGTAATAAGGAGAGTGGTTCCAAGTCTTAGAAAAGTTCGACTAGTATTTAAATCAGATTTTTGTTTCGATAAGCCCCTAAAAATTCATTTCCATAGAAATTTATGAGTTTGACGTTTGCAGAAGGTGGGAAGAGTTGTTGATAAATGTGGTACATGTACAGAAATCTTATACAGAAGTAATAAAACAGTCAAACAACGTGGAAAAGTTGCGTTTCAAGGTTCTCATTCAAAAGCTCAAAGCATCAAATGAATTTTGAGAAATTTACATTTATAGGCCAAATAAAATGCGACGATCTCCCGTCAAAGCCATATTATTTCTACTCTTCTCTCCATTTTCTCTCCGGTTCGATCTTGTCAAGCTGATCTTCTCAAAATGCAAAGTTTCTCACATCTCTCGCTTTTGGTAAGTGGTTTTTTGATTGCTTTTCGTTAAATTTTCATTTAATTGCCTGATTTGACTAATGTTTGTACAAAAAAAGGCAGAAACAGGCCTTGGAACGGTTTAGAATTGTTTAAATCGGCTTTTTTTTAGTTTAGTTACTCAATTTGATTGTTAAAGTTGCTTCTGAATGGTTTGAACTGTTAAAACCGGCTACTATTTTGGTTCTTTATTTAATTTTTACAAATTTGACGAATTTCCTCTTGTTTAGAGTGCTTCAACGGCGCATGACATGAACGATGAGCCCTTCAGCGAGCAAATTGACCAAATGGATCAACCGGAACAAGTGAGTGGCCGTTTACTGGGTTATATAAGAAGTAAAGACTTTAATGACCTAATTAGATCAAGTTTGGCCGGTTTTTTTTATTCTAGCACGTCTTTAATTCAATTTTAATGAGCAGATTGAAGGATCAATGAGCCAGCTAGGTCAAGCACATGATAACAAGGCCTTTAAGTAGTTTTGGTGTGCCAGTTTGTAGTTGAGTCGTGCAATTGTATGCATTTGCTCTACTTTTTGACTCAAGAATTAAAATCCAAGTTTAAGCTATTCTCTTGAACTGAAACTTGTGTAAACATTTATCAAGAAACTGACTGGAGGCAAGCTAACTGCAAAATTGTTAAGAGTAAAATTCTTTTTTGAAGTAATTTTGTTTGCTTTCAGGGAGTCGAGACGGCCATCGAGAGCCCACCGTCGCTCAACATCGAGATGTCGTTTGACGATTGCGAGGCACCGCAAATGCCCCTCCTCCCGCCTCTCAACGGATTCATTTTTCGCTTCGGAAATGCTGAATTCATCGCCAAGATCATCACGTGCCCGGTGAGGGTTTGGTCTTAAAGTTGAGCTTTAAAAATTACGTTTGAAAGCTTAAAAGTGGTGGCACAATTGTGGTGAGATTCATGTACTTGACCTAAAGCAGACTTCACTTTTTATGCTTGAGCATCATAACCATTAAAAGACCAGTTTTTTTTATAAAGTTGACGCTCGTGCAAATCCTAAGCCTTAAAGCTTTTTAAAAGTTACCTTTTAGACATTTCGCCGTGTCGAGATCCGCCTTTCCACACAGAAACCCCTCGAAATCTCCTATGTTGCTCAGGTTTGTTGTTTTTATCGGATAAAGTTTGATCATTGTAGACTATGAAACAACAACTTCGTGCCTTCAGAATCAATATTTCTGTATTTAGGTACGCATTCGTACCGGTGATGCCGTTATTCCAGGGACACGCGTCGTGGACAAGGTAGAATTTTTTGTTATCTTTGTTAAGTTCTAAACATTCAGCTTGGAATTCCAGCAGTAAAGTATTAATGATTGAGTTTTATAAATTTGTTGAGGCAGAAGCTAGATAAGCTGCTAAACTTATAAACAAATAACTTTTTAGGATGTCTTCCACTTTTCATCATACATGCATCATCCTCCATTAGCTGTGCACGTCGTCGATGAGCGAGTGGCCGTGTTGCACATCGAAATGCGTTTCGTCAACTTGGTGGGTTGGGTTTAAGGGATGCTTTACTGATAATGAGAATACATGGATTAACAGGAGGGATCTTACTTGTATTGTGAGCAAGTTTACATTTTGGTATTTTTTAGATCGAGCGACCCCATCCGAAGTTCAACGACGGCGACGTGACGCTGATGTTTCCCGACGGAGAACCGCTCACCACGTGGAGAGCCCTGCTTGCACACCATTCGCCCTACATGAGTAAGTGTTGTTTTGGGCTCAAGTATTAGAATTATGATTTATTAGGTTTTACAAGATAACCATTCTGGGAGAATGCGTGTATTTTTAGAAGAGCTGATGCGCGAAGTGCCGCCCGGAGGCCGTGTCGACGTGTCGCCGTTTTGCCGCTCGGATTTTCTCACCCTGCTCAACTTCATCTACCCGACGCGGATGCCAATCTATAGGGATTTCAAAGGTATGTTATTGCTGTGTAAAGTTATAATAAACGCTTAAGTCATCTGTGATTTTTAAGCGCAATTAACTTTAAGGACGTAATTTTGTAAAAAGGTCTTCTAGTTGCTGTAATAAGAGGTTTTCGAAGTTAAGATGTGACTACTTGTGTTTACTTTAGGCCTCGTTCGTGCCGCCAACGCTTTCGAAGTGGAAACGGTGCTCTATGCGTGCTCGCGCCATTTTGTCGACCATCCCGATTGGGGCATCGAGCGGAAGATTCCGGAGGCCGTCAAAATTGAATTGCTGCCAGCGCTCGAGGAGTTGGTTTACAGGGTGAGTTGGTTTATTTTGAGCTGAAAAAATAGGGATTTAAGCGTCTATGAAGTCGATGAAGTTGTAAAGCTTTATTATACAAACTTTGAAACATTTCCTTTTTTAGGCTTGCCAAGCGGGCACGTGGATGCAGATGATTTCGAACGGAGTGCGTCCAGAGCAATTTTGTGGAGCCGCCGCTTACCGGAATGTGATCTGTCCGACGATTTTGAAGGTACTTTTTGGCTGTACTTGGGTGTAAAACGTACTAGATTACTAGAAATGTTTAGAAATGTAAAGTAAATCAATCAAACGTCAATTTGTACCCTTTTCTAGGCCAAGTCGATGCGCTATGGACAGACGTTGCTGGTGTCACCATGGAAAGCGCCGAATTTCTTTTGCCCGCTCCCGGAAGATCGATGGATGTATGTGAAGGTGAACTGTTTCCTTAATCTTGATCTAAAGTCTGTTTTTTTTAGATTATGGTGATGGGTACACCGTTCTACGTGAACCGCGGCGTTTTGGAGATCTACGGCTCTGATGGATACCTGGGCACAGAGAATCCAGGTACGTTGTTGGTTTCTGTTGATTTGAAAGCTTATTTTTTTTGATGATATTGTGATATTTTAGAGGAACTTATCGCTATTGTCACAAATGAATTCATCGAGAGTTGCAAGCAAGCTGAGGCCACTGTGGGAGAGGTGTGTTTTGGTTTTTTTTGTGTGATGTTATGAGCTTAAGTTAAGGGATCTTTTAAAACTCTTGAAATCTACAGGGATCTTATGATTTGAGTGCAGTGACACGTTTATTGGTCTAATTTTAGGTGGTGATGTCTTTGTTCACTTGGTTGCACCCATTGGCGCCACCGATCTCGTCCCGTCTTCTGCGTGCCGCCCTTCTCTTTGCTCATCAACACAAGATGTACATTGTCGTCAAGGAGTTGGAACAGGTTGGTGGTCTTTCGTTGTTGTTGTTGTTTGAAATTGTTACATTTAGTCTTATGCTATGCACTGAAACTGTGCAAAATCCTTTTCTTTAGTGCTTGATTCTCGAGCCGCCCGAGTCGCCGATGCGTTTGCTGGAGAATTTCGTGTTGGCCGAGCGCTTGGAGCTGGACAATTTTCTCAGGACTAATCTGCAACGAGTCGATGGGAGGTTTGGAAATTTTTGGGCCTTAAAAGTGTTTAGTTGCTAACTTTGGTACCGGATGTTGAAGTTAATTCTAGATTCAAAATAAGTATCTTTCAAATTTAGCTGTCAAATTTTCGGCAACGACATGATCAGTCACCCGCTCTTCCACCATCTCTCGAAGGCGCTGAAGGAGCGAATCGTCGATCGGGTGTGCTCGGGATGGGGCCTTCTCACGCACACGCTCACAAAGAAGTGAGTTTTTTTGTTATTCTTTTTTTTAAAAGATAAGCCAGGCTAATTCGAGTACGGTTTGAATTAGCCTAATTGGGTTTAAAACTGGGCTTTAAAACGGCTTTATCATCTGCTTTCAGGCAAGCGACCAAGCACTACCTGCGCATCGTGGACATGGTTGGCGGTGGACCACCGGTTAATTGTTTAAGGCTTTTAAGCTCTAGAAGTTAATTGTTAGTGTTGCCTGGCTGAAGCTAATGTTTTTGTTTAGATTGAGGAGGGCATGTGCCCAGAGACGTTTCAATCGATAAACTCGCAATCGATTTTTGGACCACGACACGAGATGCACGATTTGGCTGAGCAGGTTGAGTTTTAAAATTTTAAAAATGGTTAAAATTTAAAGTGCTGTAAAGCTCGAACGGGTTAAGCTTTGTATCTCTAAAAAGCTCGAAATTGGGTTTCAAGCTAAACTAACTCAGGAATCGATTATCTGTTCAAATTTTTGTTAAATTTTCGAACTCCAGGAGCTCCACATTGAACAGCAACAAGAGGTGACGATCGGTGACGGTTGAGGGGAAGGATTCGGTAAAAATTGGAATTGAGCAACGATTATTTAGCAGATTCTTCATTTGTGTTCGCATTTGTCGTTTGTATTCGTGTTTTTTGGTGCTTCACTTTCTGCTTTGTGATTTCCGTAGTTATGATGTATTTGAGGGAAATAATAAAATTGGATCTCGTCCTGTGCTTGAGAAATTGGTGTTGGCTTTAAATTTAAAGTTCTGGTTGTTTCTGAAATAGTAGAATTTTGAGTACAGAGATCAGTACAAGGAAAAGAATCCTGAAAATTTTTGGAAAATTTCGGATTTTGGGCTTTAGAGTGATTCCACTCGGTGTGCCGGAAGCTTTCAATGCTGAATGCCTTTTTAAATGGTTTATTTTATTTTATAAAGCTCAAAAATTCAAAAGAAAACGAGTTTTATTATGAATTTTTAGTAAGAAAAGGGGCTAATCTGAATTTTGAAAAATTTTTTGACTCTGAAATTTTAAAGTTTCAAAAGAAACCGCTAGGTAAGGGGTTCTTTGGTTTTAATTATTTAAATTTTTTCAAAATCGATAAGTGAAAGAGCAATAAGAATCACAGTAATCACAGTAAGTTTTGAGTTTTAAATATATACCGTAAATACTGTAATAGTACCCCATCCCCATAATGACGGTGCGGAGTGTTGTGTAGTCTGGCTTTGAACGAGTTTTTCTCGACACTGGTTTATGCTACAATGCGCGCTTAGGTATCAAAAAATAGCCCTGAAATTCAGGCCTATTTTTTGATACCAAAGACGCATTTTTTCAAACGTACGGGTGCTTTGAAAAAATGAAATACTAAAAAACTTTTGCGACTCCGCGACTGGTGGGGTACTATTACAGTATTTACGGTATGAGTTTTGATAGAAATTCATATTCTTTTCGACTATACTTATCCCGTATATGCAAATTTGATTTGACCAAATGATTTTGTAAGCAAAGGAAGAGAAAAAATGAAAAAAGATTATTCGATTTCCTTTTCAAATCCCTCTCTCAACATGTGGGACCGCCTTCGGTGCATGCGAATTGCACAGGAGAGAACTGAAAAATTTTTTGTGTAAAACTAATCCCCCATAAAATTGCCGAATAAAGTCCTACTTTGGATTGGAACAAATTGAACAATTAAACAATTCAACAATTGAAACTAGAGGTTTCAGTTTGTGATCTTACCAACAGGACCAACGGGAATGAACACTAATTTGGTATACAGATAATTGAAAAAAACAAATGTTAACCTCATTTCTTTGCTTTGAGTGGTGTTCAACGTGAAACTTGCCATTTTCAAAAAATTTTACAACTTGATAACTTGTGTTTCAATTTTCCTCATAAGGTAATGGGGTTTTCTATAATAACTTACTCAGATTGTTGCCTTACTTTGCAAATAGCAAAGAAGGTTTTAAGAAAGGTTTTTTTTCTTTGATAACTTCTCAAATCACTCACAAACATTCCGGGTGTAACGTCGGGCCCAAAAGTCCATGTGCCCGTTGCGTCACAAACGATCGTTCCCTCGATGGTCACAGTCATACATGCTTGCCCGAAAGCAAACCACGTGCCGCCCTGAAATTCGGCATTCGATTTTATAAGCTTTTTTTAAACATCGAGTTGAGTAGACATTTATGACCTGGCTACCGTAACCCGACTCAATCAGGGTATTTTAACACGACTCAGATATTTGGTAAGGCAACTACGGTGATACGTCCTGAAAACTAAAGCATGGTCCGGCTACCTTAATGCGCAAACTAGATCGTAGTGGTGCGGTAACAGCAAAAAAAACTACCATGCGCATCTTGGTGAACTGGGAACGATATCAAATGAGCGCCGTAATCAAAAGGATGCCAAGCCTTAAATCTTATTCAATGCAACCACGAACTGCGTTTTAACCTTTTTTGTTTGTTTTCTTTTTTCTTTTAAGCTCCTGTATTATTTCAAATATTTATAATGAATTCTTTTAACAATAATAGAATAACAAAAATGATAACAGCATTTTAAATCGATGAATGTAAAAGGACAGAGCTTTAATAACATCTGAAGAACGAAAATCTAGCCGAGCTCTTTTGAACAGCGCTCTTTTGAATGGCGCTCTTTTGAATGGCGCTCTTTTGAATGGCGCTCTTTACAGCCTTCGAACGCGCCTTTGAGCGCTCTTTGAATGGCGCCTTGCAGCGCTCTTCGACCGCTCTTTGAATGGCGCCTTTGAATGGCGCTCTTTGAATGGCGCCTTTTGGCGCCTTTGACAGCGCCTTCGAACCGCCTGTGGCGCTCTTTTGCGCGCCTTTGAATGGCGCTCTTTTGAACAGCGCTCTTTTGAATGGCGCTCTTTTGAATGGCGCTCTTTTGAATGGCGCTCTTTTGAACAGCGCTCTTTCGAACAGCGCTCTTTTGAATGGCGCTCTTTTGAATGGCGCTCTTTTGAATGGCGCTCTTTTGAATGGCGCTCTTTTGAATGGCGCTCTTTTGAACAGCGCTCTTTTTATATTGTCCCGCGGACCGATCAACTCTCGGTCCGAAGATTGGTCTATTCTAGTGACTTGCTTGCTTGCCAAAACAGAAATGACTGTAGAGACTTGTTGATCTTTTTGAGAGCCTCAAGTTAGGAATGGAACCTGCGGACCGGTTCGTTAACATGCTTGCGTAACAGTGACTAACAAGGAGAGGTAATGTACTCTGCAATCTATAATAACTAGACTAATTACCCATAATTTCTTCTCTTTCTTCCTTTCTCTTCCCCCTTCTTCTTTCTTCCTTACCGGATACCAGATAGCTCAGTGGTTGTCTGAAAAGCAAAAAGTCGAGGGTTCAATCTTTCTCTGCCATTCCTTACTTTATAATAGATATTTATAAAATGGATAGGTGCTGGATGAGTTAAACTTACAATGTTCGCTTCGGCGAGGATGTTGCCGGCGGGAGATGTACAGGTGAGCATCGCATTTCGGCAACCATTTGCGTCGGTGCTGGAAATTAAAGAGAATTTCCGCTTTCCTCGAGAAAAAAAATGCTATTTAGACAACCAATTTGGTCATGAAGAAATTGAAAGATCTTGCCAATGCAGCTTTTGAAGCCAATGCAGCCAATGCAGCCAAGCAAGCTTTTGAAAAATGAAATTTATTCCTTGTTTTTTGATTTATTCTTTCTGGGGAATATTTGGAAACAATGAAAAAGTTGGAACTAAATTTTCTTTCCCTTGTTTAACCCGACTATTTTTGAAACTCACGTGTAGGTGAACGTGCCGGTTCCTTGAACGCCGCCTGTGTCATCGGGCACAATGGCGAGGTCGGCACAACTTGCACAAAGCACTGAAATGATTAATAGGGGAAAATGGAAAAATTTACGAAATTCGAAGAGAAACATTTGGATCTCAATGATTAAAAGAAAGCCGAATAAGTTGAAACTAATCAATTTCAAAGAATTGTTATCAATTCACGTACAGGTGTTCATTGTTGTAGTTGTTGGTTGTAGTGGTTGTTGTCGTTGTAGTGGTTGTTGTCGTTGTTGTAGTGGTGGTTCTAAAAGGTTTTAATATAAATAGATTGCAGCTAAAGAAAGCTAAAGAAATCTTGGATTCATCATTTTTCAAAGCTGGTTTTTTTTGTTTTAGTTGATTGACGAATTTCATTTTCAACTTATGTCAAAAATTTTGAAACTTGAAAATTTCATTTTGCTTTTTTTACTCACGTTGTTGTCGTTGTTGTCGTTGTGGTGGTGGTTCTAAAAATATTCTGTAAATGTAAATGTAAATGAATATCAACAGTTTATTACAGTCTAGTAGCTGAAGCTAAAGTATTAAAGCTTGGAATTGCACTAAAATTCGACGATTTCATTTACAAAGTTCTTTGAAACAGAAATTTTGAAAAGTAAAGGATCCAAAAAGGCAAATTAGCTAGTCAATTGCTGAAACATTGCTGAAACGAGGATAAACTTTGAAGAGTCAAAATTTAACCAATAACGAACCCAATAACGAACCCAATAAAGAACCCAATAAAGAACCCAATAACGGACCCAATAACGAAGTACTACAACGTACACCTTGTTTCAATGCAAGTAAACTTTACAGAGTAATTGCTAAAGTCAAAACTATCAAACTGACTCTTGCTAAAAGTATCATAAGCTTGAATTTAAAATTTTAAAAAAAAATTACGTTGTAGTGGTTGTCGTAGTCGTAGTCGTTGTTGTACTGAAATTTCTCAACTTTGATCTCCATTTTTATCTTAAAACTCTGTCAAAAGGATTCATTTTCACATTGTCTCATTTAATCCCTGCAAATTGAAAAATTGGGTTGGAAAATGGGTGTGAAACCCTTTGCCACATGGTTAAAAACTTGCTATTAGTGAACTTAAAACTTAAAACTATTAGTGTTAGTTTTCACAGCAAATTAATGCAGTTAAGTTCTGCTAGTGCAAAAGCGTCAGCCTCAACCAGTTCAACGCAGACAAAAGAGACATTACGTTATTGTTACAGATAGATATAGCTAAAAGATTTAAACTTAGGTCATCCTTTTCTTTTTAAGTCATTCTGTAATTGAACAGAGCCTAAATTTGTTGTGTTCTGCTAGTGCAAAAGAGTCAGTCTCAACTCGTTCACAGCAAAGCTTTCAATAACACTTTACGTTGTCGTAGTAGTCGTTGTTGTCGTCGTTGTTGTCGTCGTTGTAGTTGTTGTTGTGGTAGTGGTTGTGGTCGTTGTTGTTGTAGTCGTCGTAGTCGTGGTCGTTGTTGTTGTTGTTGTCGTCGTCGTCGTCGTCGTAGTTGTTGTCGTTGTTGTGGTCGTTGTTGTGGTCGTTGTAGTTGTTGTTGTTGTTGTTGTTGTTGTCGTAGTAGTCGTAGTTGTTGTCGTTGTTGTGGTCGTTGTAGTTGTTGTTGTGGTAGTGGTGGTGGTCGTTGTTGTTGTAGTCGTCGTAGTCGTGGTTGTTGTTGTCGTCGTTGTTGTTGTTGTTGTTGTCGTCGTCGTCGTTGTAGTGGTAGTTGTCGTAGTAGTCGTAGTTGTTGTCGTTGTAGTCGTCGTCGTCCTAAACCACAGCAATCAGGACAGCACAAAAAGCAAACAGATATATGTAAGTTGCTCGTTACTAATTGTAAAGAACAAGTCGTTGATTGGTCCCAGTTGAATCCCTATGGTCTATTTTTGAAACACACAAATCTCAAAGCAGTGTTTACTATTAGAATTAGCGTAATTTTCCTCTCTGTCTCCGTTAGTTCCAACACAAAAGCGAAAATTTGAATTTACGTTGTCGTAGTGGTTGTAGTTGTTGTTGTGGTTGTTGTCGTCGTCATCCTAAACCACTGCAATTAGTATAAAAGCAACAAAAAAAAGCAGTTAAAATAGCGTCAGATGCCAAAGAGTTAGCACCGAAAAAAAGGAAAAATTTTGAAATTACGTTGTTGTGGTAGTCGTCGTCGTAGTGGTTGTCGTCGTTGTCCTGTAACACAGCAAAAATGAGCAAATATTGAGGTGATTAGGTGACTGTTTATACATATAATTAGACTTAGGAAATTGATTACCTATAATAGATAACTGTAATAGTGACGCCCATTAGCTGAATATCTTAATGCCTAAGAGAAATCTCAAGATGATCTTAGGCATTAAGATATTCAGTTAATGAAGCTTTTTGCTTTTTTATTATTATTTTTATTACTTTTATTAGCTTTTATTATTTTTATTATTATTATTATTACGCTATTATTAAGTTCAATTTGTTTTTAAAACCAGTTACAACCTTGAATAGTTCAAGTACAAGCATTCAGTTTCAGCTAGGGTTTTTGTGTTTCAAAGTATTGGAAGGCAAATGCGCTATTTTGTGCTTAATGGAGTGGTCAGTTTCATTCGGAAGTAGGACATCTACTTTCGAATGTCTAGTCTAGTCAAAACTCAAAAATTCCTATCATAAAATTTTCAAATTTCAAATTTCAAATAGTTATGTTTCAACTTATCTATGATTAAACTTGGACTCTTCAGCTTAATGCCACTTTATGCGGGTCTGGCGTGTTTGGGCAATGCGAGATTTCCTGTTTCAGTCTTTTTGCAGTCACTTTTGGGTTTTCTGACTTTTCTGATTGCTTCAAAACATTTAGATTTAACGTATTTTTAATGGGTTTTCAAAGTTACCGTCAGTAATTTATTTGAAATTTTCATGTTTCAATGTATTGCCAGTTAATTGCAATGTTTCAAATTTAATGCTTTCCAACAGATCTTTTCCCTTAATGTTTTTGAAGGCTTCTTCAAAGGGTATTTATTAAAAGCAGTAACTTTTAAGTTTTTTTTTCAAAGTTCTTCTTTCAAAGAGGAAAATTAGCGTGTTTCGGGATGAAGAAGTGATTGTTTCCACACGCTCTGTTATGTCAAAATTTGAATTCGACACCCTCAAATTACCTAGAAAAACAACATTTGGAATAGAAATTGGTTAATATTAGCTTTTTAGAGCTTTTTAAAACGCGAAAAAAGGTGCGCTAATGGGCAAGGTGCGCAAATGTCCGGTTGCGCAAAAAAAAAGGTCGCATTTGTCCCACTCCCGAAAGTGTTGGTAATTTGTGGTCGCTTGTGGTTTTAGCTTTCTCAAATAGGTGCCTTTTAGCTGAGGTATCTGATGAGTGACGATCTTGTTTTTCTTCAAGCCTTGCAGCGTCTCCAAAAACTTGTAAACCCATCAAATCACTCTAGCCGGGTGATTTTTATTCTTTTTATAATAAAATCAGCGATATTAAAATAAAAAAACAGGTGGTTGCCGTAAAAAAAATTTTATCGTCACCCGGCCGCGATTAATACCCCCCTTTAATGTTTTTAAACGTTTCTTTTTCATTTTTCAACATTTTCATTCAATTCTTCTTCTTATTCGTTTTCTTTGATAATTTTATTTTTTTTTAGTTTTGATGAGCGATCACGAAAGCTGGGAAACGAGGGAACGGACTTTGAAGCGTTTCGCGATCGACCTGAGCACGAACTAAACGGATTCTCTGAAGAAAGACAAGGACATCAACGTGAATTGAACGAAGAATTACACGAGGAATCGGAAAAAGAAGCAAACGAGGGAACGGACAAGCCAAAGCGAAAGAGAAAAGCAATAGATGCGAAGATTAAACTCGATGTTGCGAAAATGGCTCGCAAAGTCGACAACTACCACTACAACGACGACGACGACAACAACAACAACAACGACGACGACGACGACGACAACAACAACAACAACGACGACGACGACGACGACGACAACAACAACAACAACAACAACAACGACGACGACAACAACTACCACTACAACGACGACGACGACGACGACAACGACGACAACAACAACGACGTTCATGACGCTGCCAGTTTCTACAACATGGATCGAGCTTATGTCGTCAAACAAACAAATGAGCTGAGCAAAATGCACGAAATAAAGAAAGCGGCTCAATGGTGGCGGACGCGCTTTGACCTCGAAAGTGCTTGATGAAGCTTTGGCAATATGGATTCTTGAAAAAGAGCGAGTGACCCATCGAATGATCTGGAATGGCATCGGAGTTGCAGCAAACGATGATGAGAATCATATGATTCAGTGTTTCAAGACCCACGGCGCTATTTCAAATGGACTACAGCTGCTAAAAGACATTCAAATGGAGAAAGAAATGAATGATCTTCTGGTGCCGCTTCAATCAACAGGACTTTGAGAATTCTGAGAAGAAAATGACGAATTTATCGCTTCAGATGTTTTAATTTGCTTTGATAATTGATTTGTTTTTTTCAAAGTTGAAAAAATTCTGGTGAATTACCTTGAAAACTTTCAGATTTGATTGTTTAAAAATTTTTAGGAAGAAAAATTAGTAGCGTCCCCTAGGGGGAAGGGAAAAATACACGTATTACAGGTATTACGCTAGGCAACCTACCACTTTTAAGTTCTCAAAGTTGAGTCTGAAATTCTAAAAGACTTCAGCTTGAAAATCATGGTTTCACAGCAAACCGTGATAAAGAACTGTTAGATTGATTGATAAAGAACTGTTAGAGAAGCTCAAAGACACCCAATTTTGTTAATTTTGTTGAATCAGTCAAGTTTTTTTTTGTTTCTGACCAGCCAGGATTCTCTTTTCATTAATATTAACATTCCCCTTTTGAGTCAAAGAAATTAACACTGTAGAAGTCTTAAATCATCAAATGTTTGCAATAGTTTTCACCAAAAAGCTTGTTAGTACACAGAGTGAATCAGCAACAACTTTGTAAAGAGAATTACGTTGTCGTGGTAGTTGTTGTAGTTGTAGTGGTGGTCCTAAATCACAGCACTTTCAAAGAAACACTCAAAATAAGTACGTGGTAGTTGTTGTAGTTCTAAAACACCGCAAACTTTATCACTTTCAAAACTTTAGTGCATTTTGGAAAGGTCAATAAAACAATTACGACTATCGCCAAAAACTGAGTTTCAAAGTTATTAAAGAGAATTGGAATATCGCTCACTTAATCCTTTTGCTTTCTCTAGGATTGAAAATCAAAGTGATAAAACCTACGTGGTTGTTGTTGTAGCTGTCGATGTTCTAAAGTTACAAATAATTGACTTTTACAGTTAACTTCTTTAATTAACCTTAAAGGTATCGTTTAAACGGCCTTCAACTTGAAACTAAGATTCAAATTAGCACTTTAAAGGGGTACTCCGGGCTAAAAGTTGTCTTTCTTTAGTTATCTTTCTTTTCAAAGTTCTTTCAAAGTTGCCTTGCCTTTTCACCTTTCATTTATCTATTATTCGATGCGTTTTAGCCTTCTCTACAACTATTTTCTATATGAAAAACAAGGTTTCCAATCGAGAAATGAAGAAAAACGTAATTTTTCGTAATTTTTGCTTTCCACATCACTCTAAAACGCGAATATTTGAACGAAAAGTATATAAAAGTTTCGTCTCGTTTCGTCCAATTGCATTTTACCACTTGCGTTCTTTTCTTTTGCATATATTTTCTCAAATTTAACAGCAATCTTCAATATTTTTTGTTTTTTTTTTAAAATAGAAAACATTACATTCTAAAAGAATAGTTTAAAAAAGTAAAAATCGGACTTAAGAAGACGTGAAAAATAAGTGTCCAATTTCAGATTTCAATTGACTTTTCTTAGGCCAGAGTATCCCTTTAAGCATCCTCAAGCTTCCTGTATTTTAAAATTTTTGTTTTTAAGATAAAGTATGAGAAAAGAACTCTAGTTACAGTACATCAAAAAGGACACAAAGGACATCACAAAGGACGTGAGGAAGTAGAAGTTTCAACATTAATGAGACTAGTTGAAAGTGGAAACCTTCAATAAAGCATCGTGAAAATTGCTAGATTATTGCTAGATGCTAGAAAATTGCTAGATTTGTGAATTGCTCGCGCGATTTCTCGAAGCTTTGTTGAGAATTGTAAATTTGCTTCTTGCTCTTTTGACTTTCAAATAATCCGCTTTTTAAACCGTCCTCTTGTCCTCTTTTCCCTTTCCACCGTAATATTGTCTCTATTTTTCATCAAATCTATCGACTTTTTCTATCTTTCTATATCCTTTATGAACCCTCAAACAGTATCAAAAAAAAAATGAATAGATTGGATAAAAATAGATAAGAAGATTACGGTAGAAAAAGGGACACGTTCTACCAAACGGATTACCGTATTCTCCCTAAGTAGTAGTTCACCCTAAGCGTTGCCGAAATTCCTCGAAATCTCGGAAAACAGAAAAACAGAATCAGAAACAAGAGAGACAAAGGATTAAGGTAGAAAAGAGCGTTTCTTTTCCTTTACCGTTGATGCATTAAATTGACAGTGAATACTGATTTATAAGAGAAACAACTGGTTGAGCCGGGCCTTTTATGCGACCAATTCAAAGCAGAATCTTTATGCTCATTTCAAATCTCGGAAAACAGAAAAACAGAAAAACAGAAAAACGAATTTGCATATGGGAACTCCGAGTTTCAAATCAATCAACTTTCTGGGTGACTTTTGTGATTTAATCCCCTCTTTAAACTATAAAAATAATTCTTATCCAAAAGAAAATATTGAAGTTTTTTAAGGGTATAAAGCGTAGCTTTTTTTTCGAATTTTTGTATTTTTGAAACTCACGACGTTGGAATGCAGGTGTCGACGAGCGCCACCGCCACGGCAAAGAGAGCGATTTGGAAGAGAAATGCATTCATTCACGAGTAATTTCCTGGAAATGATCATAGCTTTGTACTTTGAAAAAAACAGGAAATAGAAAAATCACAATTGAGTATATTGAAGCAAGAAAATGTCAACTTTTGATAAATCTCATTTTCGAATACAATACAGCAAGTTTTGCACTTGTGCAAATTCAACAAAAGACTATGAAATCCGAAATCTAGTAGTCAACTGTGACTACATTGAAACATAGCTTTCGCTTGAGAGTGAAAAACCTCATTTGTTTGAAAAGCTCATTTGTTTGATCAAAGAGAACAGGATTAGAGCACTTCTTCATCCCGAAACACGCCAAATTTTCCTCTTTGAAAGAAGAAATTTGAAAAAAAACTTAAAAGTTACTGCTTTTAATAAATATCCTTTGAAGAAGCCTTCAAAATTGAATGAAAATGTCGAAAAATGAAAAAGAAACGTTTAAAAAACATTAAGGGAAAGGGCCTGTTGAAAAAGCATTAAATTTGAAACATTGCAATTAACCGGCCAAACATTGAAACATGAAAATTTCAAATAAATTACTGACGGTAAATTTGAAAACCCAGTAAAAATACGTTAAATCTAAATGTTTTGGAGCAATCAGAAAAGTCAGAAAACCCAAAAGTGACTGCAAAAAGACTGAAACAGGAAATCTCGTATTGCTCCAAATAAAGTGGCATTAAGCTGAACAGTCTAAATTTTATCATAGATAAATTGAAACATAACTATTTGAAATTTGAAAATTTTATGAATTTTATGAATTTTTGACTTTTGACCAGCTGTAGATGCCCTACTTTTGAATGAAACTGACTACTCCACTAAAAAGAGAATAGCGCATTTCACTTTAAATACTTTGAAACACAAAAACCCTAGCTGAAACAGAATGTTTGTACTACAACTATTCAAGGTTGTAACTGGTTTTGAAAACAAATTGAACTTAATAATAGCGTCTAGATTGACTTTTAGCCCTATATCTACTATTTAGAGGATTCTATTTTATGTTTAGATTCTGAAGGAGTTGAAAGAAAGAGTTGAAAAAATTGAAAATTTCAGCTATGGGAATATTCGGTTAACTTAAGGAAAGAATGCATTCATTAAAGTAGAAAATCCAAAATTTAGCTTAAATACATTGAAACATTCAATTCTTTGTTACGATGAACTTTGAAAAGCTTATGTTCCAAAGCAAGGGGAATTCTTAAGCATTTTTTCGAAAAGCCAGAAAAATCTTGAAGTTACAAAGGTGAAGAAAAGACGAACGTAAAGAAAAGAGTCAAGTCTGGTTTTTGATTGGTCATTTTGACGCCTTGTACGCTAAAAGGAGGATAATTGGCTGCGAGAATATTGCTTTCTGTTGCTCAAGACAGTTTATGAGAGAATTCAATGCGATGGGAAAGATGTTGAACTTTGGAATTGAAATATTCAACTGTAGAATAGAATTTCTTAGCTGCGAATTCCCAGTCGCTTGTCATTATCGTTTACTGATCCAGTACTTCTCTTCCAGTTTTTGTTTCACGTATTGAAAGATGAGAACAACGTTTCCGATCAGTTTCGAGCCTGAGTATCCCAGCTGATTTTGATTTGAAGGCAGAATTTGAAGCTAAAGCTTTACAAATTAAAACAGATCACAGAAACAGAGCCAGCCTTTCTCAACGTTACCATATTTTGTCTCTATTTTTATCTGTAATGAGACAAGACAAGAACTGTAGTTGCAATACCCAGTTAGGTAGAACAAACAAATTGTTTTAACAAACCGAAATGGCACTAAGGTTTGCCTTGTTCAAACTATAAAATCAACCTTGAAACATAGCTTTTTTCACTTTAGAGGTTTTCAAAGCAAAAAGCCAAAAAACTTTCCGATTTGTGCTGGGGAATTGGCTAAAATCAGACCAGACACTAGAGCTCTTTGAGATTCTCAACAAATGAATATCTCGTGCCTTGTCTGGAGCACAAAAGGTACTTTCCCTGAACTTTGCGAACAAAGGGGCACTATTTTTGTTCATCCACATGACTGGCGAGGTGTTCTCTGTGCGCATAATCGCTCCTCATCTGGCATAAAGTTTTGGTATGATTCCCTTAATACCTGACAAATCATTGAAAAATCGATTTAATTTAATGATTTCTCAAAACCAAGAAAAATATTCAGACGGAAAGGCAATACAGTGTTTATATTTATTTGCTAACTAAATAAATAGTA